TACATCTGTCTGCTTTCTGTTCAAGGACATTCAGAAGGACAGAAAAAAATAATTTCTTTCTGGCCCCAATTGGTCTCTATTTCTGTTTATTTGTTTTGGAAAACAGGTGAAAAAGTGAGCGGTTTAATGACAGCCAGAACCTCGCCTGGACATGGATTTCACAGTCCTCTGTTTTCAATTAGTCATTTTATTTCTGTCCCAAGTTGAGTCCATGTTTTGGGGGCAGCATTCTGGAGTCGTGTAGATGGGAAGACACTTCATAAGGGGGCCATGCACGAGATCCCCAAGCTACTGCCTCGCCTGACATTTTCCTAAACTTTAGCTTTCCTACTGAATTTTCCTTTTTCCAGGTGCCTGCAATGTGACCATACGCAGAGGGGGATGCTGAAATACATCCTGCGATGTCTTTTGTGTTAATCCACGCTCCATATGGGCATGAGAATTAAAAAAATACTTAAGCATACATTCATGCATTTACTTGTCCACTTTTTTAGCTGAGTATTACAGTGATAAAAGATGTGAACTCAATAAATATATTCATTAAAAAAACAACTGACAGCACTGAATAAATAGTCAGTTTATACACTACCAGCCAAACGTTTTTGCACACACTGAGATTTTCTACATTTGCATGTTACTCATTTAACATTTACTAAAAATACACTCAATATTTTTGCTGACAAATAAATTTACAGTATGTTCACCATTTGAGTACCTTTATTAGCAAGAAAATATCATATCTTTGAATCATCAAAATAACCTCCTCTAGTAGTTATAACGGCAGAGAAAATTTGAGGTATTGTTTCTACAATAGACATTAAATACAGCTCTGTTTCATGCCATGAAACAGTTAACTAGTGCATTTAAAGTTTAAGGACAGCCTAGAATTTGACGATGCCATCATCGCACAGACAATTAATAGAATGCCAGACATGCACTGTTAAATACTCTTTCCATGTTTTAAAGCAATGTGTTTTATTTGATTATATTTTCCTTTATAAAAATCTGCAGTTTATTAAATAAATGTGAAAGTGGTAAAACCTGTGGTGTGTGAAAACGTTTGACTGGGAGTGTATATTGTTTGCAAGTTCACTTTTTTCGTGAAATACACCCAGTGTGTACGGCTCACTTCTCAAAATGGTCTCCTGGAGCTCAGAGAACCCTTCTAATAGCTCTTCAGGACCAACGGTGTCTGGGGAGATTATAGTAGATGTAGAGTGGAACAGCCAGCCACTACCCCCATCCTTCTCAGAAGCTTCCACTGCCGTGCATGCCATTACTAATGGACCATTAGTAGACTGTTGGCAACAGCACGTGGAATACTACCTGGCAAAGAGCCAGCTAACAGTTTCAAATATTTAGTTCTCAATAGAATTTCCTTGAAAGCTGCAGCTGCCTGAGTGTAAATGGCTTAAGACCAGAACATATCTGGGAGTGTTTGTTTTTCTAGCTGTTCTGAACAGTGTAGAGACCATGCAGGCTCTTACTCTGTTGAAGAATTCTCAGAACAACACATTGAGCCATTTGAGCACAGCTTTTGTGTATAATTAAGTAGATGTGTCAGTTAACTTTACTTACTAATTTCACCACTGTACAAATCAAATTAAATCTAATTAAATAGCCTACCAAAAAAGCTTAAGTAATTAACAATGTCCCAGTAGAAATCTTTACCTTAATTCCTACCTTTCCAATTAATTAGATCCTCCAATTAATTACCCATTAACCCTCATCAAAATAATTGTCAGAATGAATTAAACAATTAAATTACAACAAAGAAACCCCTTTGTTGCAAAGCAATCTGAGATTAAACTTCAAGAAGTGTCAATGTGCTCAAAGAGCTCTTCAGGGTCAATTGCATTTGCCCTTCTATCCTTTTGCAATTGTTCTCTGATATTACCAACACAGAAATAGGTAAGATACTTCAAATCGCATGAGACTGCAATCCACAAACTCTCAGGAATGTTGTCATCTTACTATGCAAACAATGGAAGGGACAATGGAAGGTTTTAATGTAAGTACAGTATTCTATTATACAATATCAAGTCATCTACAGCTTATTTGGAGCATAAATTGACTGGTAAGGCTTCTCACTTTAACATGGTGCCAAAATAGACAAAGAAAATTACATCAGTGAGAAATTATTTCCTCCATGAGTGAGTGAGTACGTTAATACGTTCAAGCCAACTTTTGATAAATTGACTATTTGTGTTACTAGAAGCATTTGCATGGATAGCTACAATTAGCCACACCATCAACAGCAATAAAAATGACAACATTTAACGGTAATGCTGGAGAAACACTGCATTATCATTCACTAATTATGGGAAATGTTTTTCATAATGCATAAAGGAACTTTCTGGATAGAGAGGGTTATTAAGGTCCTACTGAGACTTAATGATATCATGGCTACAGTTAGCATGCCCTCTATTTTCCACCAGGTGAAAGAGACATTGATTAATCCAACAGAGACCGATATTTGAATTTGAAAGCCAAGCTGAGTGTGACAGGTCTGACAGCTGGCCTGGGCACTGTTTGCTAAGCAGAAATAGAGTTGTGAGCCCAGTGAGGATACAGTATGCTTCAGAACTGCAGCTAATGCCTATGTCTTAACAGGCACACGCTGCTTTCCCTGCAGCACAGAATGCACTGCTCCTAATAGCAGTAATCTATAGACTAATTACTTAACAACTTCCCTTCATAGACTGGAAATGTTTTAGGAGCGTATTCACCTCAGGAAAACTTTTCAAATGTTCAGGTCAAGCCCCTTATTTGTTAAAGGAGTGCTTTCTCTACATTGCTTTTTTAGGAGTGGTTTTCCATGTTACATATGCCTCTGGTTCAATGACTGGGGGTAAAATAGGTACTTTGTAAACATGGGAAAATGTCCCAGCACTATGCAGAAATATCCATCATCCACTGCAGTGGCTTCTACAAACGTGCCCGAGGGTTACAGGATTTTGGTAATAAAGTGGTTAACGGCATGAACTTGTAACCTAAAGGCTGAAGGTCCTAATATGGACACTATTTTCCTAACCTTGATACAGAGTAGCAAATCCAAATTGTTTCAGTAGAATATATCCTGATATAAAAAAAGACTTATACACTGTAAATCAATTTGGATGAAAAGCATCAGTAAAAGTAAATAGAATTCTCCTTCCATGTGGAACATAAGGCATGAAATGGGATGATTTCCATCATGCACGGGGAAACGCACATAGATATTATTTGAATATGATAGTCAGGAAACATAGGTTGTAAACACACATCTGGCACTCCATAAGCAGACCATGGCACCTGTTTTAAGTCTCAGCTGAGGAACACAAATGGATCCTCTATTGCCATTTCACACAAGAAACCAAATAAATCTCCATTCCAAAGAAAACAAAAAATCAGAGAAAAAAGAAACCTTAAATCCAAGTTCAGCTTTTCCCATTCTCATGCTCCATACCACATCAGCATCACTGTTCCCTGAAAAAGGATGATGTAATCATGCACACAGGTTTTCAAACTGCATATTTTCCACTCCAAGTGCAAGAAGATTCCAAAACAACATAAGACCCCAGAGGAGCTCCTCCAGAACTGCCCCCACAGCAGTTACACCAGCATTCACAGATGTTAGGTAGGTGTCCAAAATATTCAAACACTGGAACAGAATTGCAGCTGAGAGCTGTAATGTTTCCGTAGCTCATTCCCTTGCACACACTGCAGAATTTCCTAAATTCCTCCAGTATAAGAGGCTGAAGGTACAGTGCACAGGTGGACAGCATTGTTGTTTCAGCTCTGGGCTCGTAGCTTTATCTGTGTTGGGTTTGCATGCTCTTTCCGCGTTCATGTGGCTTATCAGTGCGACCAGCCTAAAGACAGCTGTTCATGTAAAGCGGTGATGCTAAATGTGATGGGAGGGGAGGACCAGGTGGCATGGGTAGGGTGAAGAAAGTCCCACTGGGGTACGTTTATTGAGGGGAAAGAATGCAAAGTATGAAAATGGGAAGTGGAAACTCAGGGGAACACTAGATGGGTCGGGTTTCCCCAAGGTACAATCCTGAATTGAGCAGGACGGCAGAAGGGGGCATTGATTCTGCTGGGGTGGTAGTGTTCTGGCAGGAGAGGCAGAAAAATAAACTTTTCGAAAGCAGTATATTCTCACTGCTACCGCTGGTCTCCCTATGTATGCAGCGTCATAGGTTTCATACCAACACTGGGCAGGGGGGCGGGAGGGGCGACGGGTATGTCTGGGACACACGTGTGACATCACGTTGCATTACCGGGACGATTCTGTAGTCCGCTGTATACAGTTCGTTTTTTTATTCGTACCTATTGCCGTTACAGAAAGTGATATCCATCCTCACTAATATGGCAGTTTAAGTCTGGCAATGTCCCGCATCATGTACGCTGAATTTGCGGTAATTGTTAAAATTTGGCACAAATCACGAGATTTCGCCGCGAATGTCAGGCCCTGTCTGGCAACACATTGAATAGCAACTAGGAGATCTTCTCCTAGAGACCTATAGAGATAGGCCTAAATATAGGGCATTTGTTAAATCTCTTGGTAGCAATATATGGGACTTTCTGCCAACAGTTTAAGAATTGAATGATTCTGAGTTTACATTAACTGAGTAACTTACTTTATGGCATCTACCAAATAAGCACCAGGTCTGGCCCCGTTTTTTGGACGGGCTTATTACACATTCTTATGTCCTAACACCAAACACCGTTGGATGAGAATTGCGACTGACACATGCTACAGTATGTGGACACATGCAACGTTATCAGCGTCGCTATTTGTGCTGTTAACTAACAAGTTTGCACAATCAAATAAGTTAATCTTTATGAAACCTGATCGACGAGACGATTAAATTCCACCATTTCAGGCAGTCTTTTATTGGTTAAATGCTGGTTAAGATTCGAGTTCTTCAATAACTTAAGTTAACATGCAAAACAGAACAGCACTTTCCCTGCCGCCGCACGCAGCTCAGGAAGCTAGAGTCTGCCAGCCGGAGCGAGAGTTCAGACTAAACCATTTTAATGGAGGGTAGCGGTTCTCCAGGTAAAAACTGTCAGAAAAAACTTTAAATTATGTGACGAGATATATTAATCGTGTATGTTTTTTGAAAGTTAAGCATTTTATTATATATGATATTGAGGGGGATGATACCCCAATTTCAACATGGGCGGAGACGTGTCTCCTCTGTCCCCCCTAAATGTACGCCTTTGGCCGGGTATGGTGTGATCATTTCTCCCGTGCTCTCTCTCCGGGCAGCAGTTCTCTCTAGGCGGTCGCATTTCGTACCTGGGGAGCTGATCCGGGATGGTTGGTTGATGCACCAAATAAATTACCTTGTGCTAGACCGGTTTCTGAAAATTGATACATGGACATATGATAGTTTGCCAAAGAAATATCCTCCACAAATGGACATGGGCATCGGTTTAAAAAAAGTTAGTGATTCTTAGGAGAATAGCTAGTATATTGGCACATATTTGTTAGCTCGTTACATAAAAAGAACCACTAAGGAAGTAGTTTAATTGACAGCTTCTCAGAGAGACTCGGTAAGTTCCCTGTTAAGCTTGGAACATGTCAGTCACTCTAGCCCAGGGGTGCCCAATCTTATCCGCAAAGGACCGGTGTGTATGCGCGTTTTTGGGATAACCTGTAGGTCAGCTGTCCAAACCCAGGTGATGAGGACTATTCAGCCAATCAGTCCTTTAATTAGTAATCTAATTAGGGAGTTGCAGCGAAAACCCGCATACACACCGGCCCTTTGCGGATAAGATTGGGCACCCCTGCTCTAGCCGAAGACTTCAAAAGCGTTTCCTTAAACACCCAACCGTATATGTTACAAATCCAGGGCAATCAGAACAATCAAGAATGCCATTTTGGATTGTTTTGTACCAAGTAATGTAATCCTCGTTACTAAGTTACTAAAATAATACAATTTTATTTTATTTTATTGAGACCTACTCCAACAATAGCTGTTCTCTTTTTTTTTTAAATGTATCGGACTAGCGTAGCAGTTAATGGCGCTTTTCTGTTGGAGTAGTGAGCCGGACTAAATCTGAATCAGGCTTAATTCGCAGACTGGAAAAGCACAATTATTTCTGCCTGTTTATACACAACAATGGGGATCCCAGACCTTGATCATGATTATTGTCGGATCGTCTTTGTTGTTACAATCTTCGATATGCTTGTACAATTGTTTTAATTTCTGATTTTAATGTAATTTACATTGCAGGTACTGTAGCTCCAATCTGTTCACACTTTCTGGCAATTTCTCTGTACCTTTTCATTAAAGGCTGACAGCTCTAAGTCCAGCTGGGTGTTGGCAGGTGCTCAAGCAGATATAAATACCTGGATCTCATCCCATTCTGGTATATTCAAGACTCCACCGGTTTTACTTGTGTGTACGAATTCTTAAATTTTCCTATCAGAGAATTTTAACAGAGCTGTGCAGAGCATTTCTCTCATAGACTTTTGTCAACAGAGTTAAAACACAATTTTTTAGCCAGTTCTGGAATGTGAACAACCTTTGAATGTGATTTCAAGTGAAATTGCAGGTATTGGGCATGCCTGAAATCTACACATTGAATTCTTCCTTGGCCTTCATTGATTATGTGGTTGAAACAGCCTTTTGTAAAGTCACAGTGGTTCTGGCTTGGCAAACTAGTGAAAAGGGAGTTTACATTCTCTTGTAGTGTCTTGCTTTGTTGCTACCTGACATTGAAAAGGTTTATTCCAGTTTTTGTACCTTGGCATAGTGAGGTCTGCAATGAATGCAGGAGTACTCTGCCAGGCAATGTTAAGGGCAGCTGCATGGGAAAAATTAGTTAGGAAAATGGTGAGTAGATGCATCAAGTTGTTGTTCTTTGAAAATTTGATTTTCATATTCCGATTGGTCTTTATAGCATGGTGCCTTATGTATGCAAGGAGATTTGTATGCATCAGAGCTTTGTTACTGTTTTCAACTCTTTTCAGGGTCACAAACAGAAAAGGATCTTAGTGTAGAGGTGCAAGTCACCTCCTGCAGTCGAGGACTGTCAGCAGTGGCATCATGTCATCATGATGACGTTTTATCTTCTGTCTGGGTCTTTAGGCTTCCTAGTGCTCATTGTCATGGTAATAAACTACGTACATTTAGTTGCTGGCCATCCTCTTTTTACCTTCAACTTTTCCAAGTATTAATTTTCATTTGTGCTTCAACTGAAAATTTGTTTTTAGCTAGAATCCACATTTATTTTCCTTGCAGTCCATGGTATTCTTACATCTTTGCCAGCTGAAGATATTCTTCCTGTCCTATTTCTTCTCCAATGAGAATATAATTCTGAAAATGAAATTCTGATCATTTCTCTTGGATTTTTTTCCAGGTCCTTACAGAGGAATACCATCACCAGGAATGAACACTGACAAGATCTGGTTCTTTAACCTGTCTCTTTCCAGTGAAATATAAAGTGGTCTGAAGAAGCAAGGAGCCCACAGTCTCCTTCAGCAGTTTCACACCTTGAGTATGAACATGTTTTCGACGGGCTCAAATAGTTTCGGGGCTGACAGCTGAGCCGCGGGTGCGAAACCTGCAGCGAGGAGGGAGTGCCTGAGACGCTCTCAGTCATTCATTGTGCTTCGCCAAGCTGCCTCTCTCTCCTTTTGTCTTTGCTAGAAACAGAGTGAAACAGCGAGGCAGAGAGAGAGAGAGAGAGAGAAACCGGAAAGGCCACACTTACTATGAAGAGGAAAGGGAGAAATATGTAAACTGGCACAAACCGACAGGGGCTCTGCAACCTACAAAATGGGATGAACATGGATTAGTTATGCAATAATCATATTTCCCTCAAGAAACAATGGTAGCACACTAAGTGTGATATGTCGTTTTTTTTTTTTTTCTCTTTTCCAAACCATTACTTCCTGTTGAGAAGCTGTAGTCTACCACAGTTCTCCTGAGAATTTACACAAACTGACAAGTGGCTCTATGTGGTTGGTGGCTGTAAGTGTCATTAGTCAGTAACATTCTGTTAGGATTGGTACAATCATTAGCCCAGTCCTACTGCAGGACAGCTACTGTAGTAGTAAGGAATAACTGCTTCCTTAGTCCATATTGCCTATAAAGCTAGCTGAACAATTCTGTTAAGTTTTATGAATTTATACGTAACATAACATATAGACCTGAAAGAACTGAAATCCATCTCATATCCTGGTCCATTTGACAGGAATTTTCAGCCTGTTTCCTGTTTTAGATAAAATCATTTTTATTACAAATCTGCCACTCTGGCCACAGTGATTTCCCTCAGATTCCTATGTCCTATATCAGAGTCCTATATCAAACTCCCAGTAAATAGCTATAGGGGGAGTAGCTGAAGCTTATGCTAATCTTTCTGTATTAATAATACTTTGTTGTTCCCCATGGGGAAATTCTCTTTTCACCTCCCCCATGTTACTCTCTATAAGAGCATGCTTGGCTAGAAAGGGCAGCCGCCTGTTGTGGCACTCAGGGAGCCGCTCAAGAGCCCACAGACATACCAAGGTTGGGCTTAGACCAGCAACCTTCTGATCACAGGCACAAAGGCTTAGTCCACTCAGTCACACACTGCCTATGTGCTATTAGGGCTCTTGTGACCCCTAAGAACAAGGTTTCTTTTGTAAGTTGGTGCAGCTCACACTGTGGGTTGATCATGGAGTTTCAGCCGTAACACAGCAGACCTGATGTCCACACGAGACCAGCCTGAGGAGCATGCTGACCCATATCTCCCATGGATCCTCCAGACATGATGTTGTAGGCTTCAGAGGATGTAATTCTGTATCACTGACTGCACCAGCCAAACAAAGACTCAGGTTCAGCATAGCAGATGACCTTTGGATGAGAATCTGTAAGTTGATTTATAGCCTTTCCTTTAGAACAAGGCTTTTCAAATCTGGACCTCGAATAAAGATCCAGGCCTTGTTTTCAGTTCTCCCAGGTACTTAGTTTAATAATTGCTGATACTGATTGGTCACAGAAGCTTCACACCTGGCTCAGAGGTAAAGGAAGGCTGGAAAATCAGCAGTGTTCAGACTTTGAGGACTGTGATTTGAATAGTCCTGCTTTAGAGGTTAGAACTTCCTACATATTAACAGCGTATGAGACAGAGAACATGCTGGATGGAAGGCCAGTCAATCACAGGCTACACACTCAGATTCACAATCAACCTCCAAGGGCAATTAAACACCAAATCACCCACCTCCATCACTTAAAATACACAATAAAAAACTATATAAAAAACATAACTGGTGACAGAGTCATGTAATTATCCGAACTAGTTCAACAGTTTGTTGGTTTTGTTTTTTTATTGAAAGAAGGGAACAACAGGATCTGAACCCACAAGAACTTCAGAAGGTACAAGTGAATAGTAAACAGTAATACCTATGTGAGAACACTGCAACTTCAAGGAGAAATTCAACTCCTTGATGGACTGAAGCCCTTTGAAGTGATCAGTACCTAACTGGTCATCCAGCTACCAGCTAAACTGACTGCTGAAGTTACTGGTTTTAGAGGAATTAGACAGGTCCCTGTTAATGTTTCACATGCAAAGTAGGGTCTGACTTGCTGAAGGAACATGTGTAAAGTCCCATGTTCTCAAGCCACCATAATGGAAAGGATCACAGAGAATACTCTGTCATGGGACTTTTTACATAGGTACAGCTTTTTGGAGTTGTTCCGAAAAATGCACAAAACATTTCTGGCAAATGAACGGCATTAAAGTCCAGTAAAGGACACTGACTTTGCAGGTTTATAATTCTAGTGATGAAAGCATTTATTTATAGCGACACTGTTCCACCTGCTGGCCAAAATATGATAGTACAAAATTAATCTGAGACAAGTCATAATTAAACTTTTTTATCGCCACCATAAATGGCTTTTACTCAGACTGTGGAAAACTATTTTTAGTTTTTTCATTGGCTTTTGCATCTCTGGAATCAGGAGTCTCATTATGTAAAACACAAAGAGTTCCATTGTCTTCATAGAATATCATTATCATGATAATGATTGCCAGTACCACAAGGGGTTTCTCAAAACCAGGGAGTATGTTCCGTGGTCTTTAATTGTAGTCTGTGGTTCCAGTCTCAGACATAACTGTGGGCCTGAAAAATGAATCATGTTGAGACCTCAAGTGCGTGTGGGGATACTCGCTGCTCCTTCATGCCCAGGCAGAGGACTTTATGGCTGGAGTTTTCCCTGGTGGGCAAGAGACTGGCCTTGAATGGTCCTCATAAGGGTACCGCCTATGCACTCTGCGGCCCTTTTGGAAGAGTTCAATGCTCATGAGGCAAAGAAGGAAGGGGCATGATTGAGAGTACTGGCCTGCCAGATAGAACCTGAGTAATGAACTGTAATTGGACTGCTGTGAAAGCCATGACTTGTCCCAAATAAAGTTCATGCTTAGATCATAAATGCTCATAGTACCACAACAGCTGAAGATAAAAGTCAGTGAATAACTTTTTAGTTGTCATTTAACGCTGCATATTTTGGAAACTGGCATGAAGAGAGAGGCAAAACTATCAAGTAATCACTACTTGGTACTGTGCTGAACTCGGAGCATGGTGAGGAGACTGGATGTGTAAGGACAAACCTAACAAGCAGTCAGGCTTTTCTGGGAATCTCTGGCTGAAGCTTCTATACAAGATGAATTCCACTCAAATCTTCAGAACAACTTCTCCTCCATGCAAAGTGAAGTCAGGGACGTCGAGGTGGAAGAGACCATGATCAAGGCCTCTTTGGCAAATAGGCAGTCAGGTTCTGTCATAGCGGTAACTACAGGGCAGGTTAGTGGAATGATATGGTGACAAACTATGGCTGAAGAAGGAGCTCTTTAGTGGTTGTATGGGAGTCTTCTGGGATAGAGGAAAGATACTGACATTCCAGAAAGGCTAAGGTGCAGGCAGTTGTGGAGTTGATGGTCATGGAGAAGAGACTCCAAAAATGTTTTGGCAAACTTTAATAGGAGAGGTAGGCAGGAACTTGCTCAGGCAGAGGAAACGCTGACCAGTAGTTGAATCTAGAATTAATTCCCTGGAATATTACAGCTAATGTTGTGCTTTTGGTCTCAATAGATCAGAACCTCCAAGATGGATGATGGACCAATTTGATGCTGAATGTGAAGTACTGGGGATGAGAATTTGCATCTCCTAATCTGAGACTATGGTTCTCTGCCCATTTTGTGGGCATTGAGGTAGTCCTGGTGATGAATAAAAAGCTAAACTGTTAAACTGTCAACCAAAGTTGTAGTACACTGGTCAATCTACGGAAATATATTTACATATATACCTGTGGGTAATGACCAAAATACAAGTGTTGAGTGCAAGCAGCTAAAGTTAGGTTTCTCCACAGGGTTGCTGAAATCACTCTGTGACACGGTAAGGAGTTAAGAGATTGGGGGCATGTCACCATATCCAGGACACAAAAATTGGTGCTATGCCCCTACTATACAGTACTATATAATAATACAGGATGTGCTTCATTATTACCGTATTTAATGTTGGTAATGTCTAATTGCGTAATTAATCAAATAAACTCTACGATACGTATGTATGTACGCAAATGCCATGTTAGACATGGGCTCCGCCGATGGTTCACTGTTATCCATGGTTTCGGCACGACACAGTAGGTCTTGGAAGGCATTAACCTTGGATACTACACAGATTATACTACCGATTATATATAGATATCGACATGTATAATATATCACTCATTATAATCCATGTCAAGGTGGCAGTTTCTGCCTCAGAAAGTCTCATTACTTTCCAGACCCTTTACATTAAAGACAGATTCCCTTACT